TTTTGACTTTTTTTTATTGTTTATTTTTAGTAGTTCGGGACAGGAAAATTCCATTATAAATTCATAACTTCTTCACCCGACGGCCGTTTTCGTCTGTCTTTTTATCATTGCACTGCTAATAACGAGATCTTCGATTCTTGTTTAGATTGTTTCGACCAAAAATCACTCGATCTCAAGTTCGAGTTTCGGGCTGCATACTGCTAAGCTGGAACTTAGAAAAATCCTAACTTCCTCATACGAAGTCAAATTTGGGCGTTCTTTTTATGCACGCTCACGGTTTAACGAAATCTATGACATTTGTTTAGATCGTTAAGGCTAAATATCGCTCTAACGTAAATTCACGATTTACGTTACGCCGTGTCGTACCGGTTCTGTAGCGAAACTTCGACAGGTCATAACTTTTTCGTTATAACTTAGATTTTGACGTTCTTTAGATGTACAGAATCCTTGTAACATAAACTACAACTTAGTTAAGATTACTCCTTATAAATAATCTTCCATCAAAAAGTCATTTTTTTACACTTATCGTCTCTAAATTTACTAGCCCAAGTCTATTGGCGTTACTGTATCAGAGCATTAGTTTAAGCGAACTAGGAATAAGGATTTATTTCTAGACTTAAACTTAGAATGCTAAGAAATGATTGTGAGGAGTGTGTCTAATAAATTTAGGTAATACACCTAAATAGACACAAGCGCTAGCTTATTTAGGAAAATGCCTAACGTGCTTTTATGTGCTAAATGATTTATAATGCTTTATGATGCTAAATATCTAACGGATCTATGGTATGTTGCCGACCGGATCTGGAAATTTTACGTGTTCAGATTTCTAAATGTTTAGATACTGTATTAGAATTGGCATGTAATTTTTCGAAGTAATTAGGAGGATTACACGTCTAAATCTTCTCTATATATATTCTCGTCTCGATGCAATGAATGCATGCTTCCGTGAAAATAATGTCATGGTGAAAGACTCATAGAGAATTGAGTAAATAGAGGAAATGAAAAGGCTTATGATAGTGAATGACACTTGTCGGAAGATATCGTAAGAGTGGTATCATGCCTTTAGAATATATCAAGCAATAAGTTTAGAGGAATACGGTACGTTCGAAGTACACATTCGATTGACGGGATGATGGAACGATTGGTGTAATTCCCGAAGTTGTCCCATCGTATGGAGTTTCCACCACCAACCGAGTTGAAGCAGAGTTGATGATTGAATATACGCATGGAATAAGTCCTATTAGAGTCTAGGAAAATTCTTGTGATTGTTTGGACACCTTATTATGTGTTAAAATTGTTTTGTGATAATGATTTGGAAAACTGCGAGACAATATACTACCGGAAGCACATGACTCACACTTGGATCAGGGAAAGTCACAAGGTTACCAAGAAGCTAATAATTGATTCTGTTTTATTCAAGTATGTCGTTAACATCGTTTCGGTAATGAGTAAGAATATGATTATTATTCCAAACCTAGTGTTCATATCGAATTGAGTCCGACTACGATGAGTATGTTACACGGTTCAGAGAACCAAGTTTGATGTAACAACTGAATTAAGCCGGAAGATTGAAATAAAAGATGATCAAAGCGATCGGTAGAGGTATCGCGATAGTTGCTTGTATCTAGAAATGCTACCTTTTAAGATGAGATTAGAACATGAAGGAAAGTATAGTCTGTTCTAGAAGACTCTAAGAGACCTGAGTCTAAGCGTAGCTACATACGATGATAGGTAATTAGAATATGACACATCGATCCATTGTAGTAATAAAATAACTTATCTTAAGTTTGTTAAGAAGAAGCAGTCTCTAGTAAGGATCGAGATTGTGACTTAAAGGAGTCTACCGTGTGATAGGGAGCAAGTGCAAGATCGAGCACCGCTTGCAGTCAAGGAGTCTAAGAGTTAGATACTCATTCGAAGAACCAAGGAAGTTACAATTATTACCTAGGATGAAGAGATAACATATGAAGTCATTATACTACCCTGTTTCGTTGATGATTCCGGGACGTAATCATCCTAAGGGGGAGATAATTGTAACGCCCGTAGATCCGTGCTAGTCAATTTAGAGATAATAGGGGTCAAAAACGACTTTTAGACAAAAGATTCTTTAGAACAAATAATCTTAATGAAGTTGTAGAATATATCTCAAGTGTTCCGTACATATAAAGAGCGCCAAAATCCGAGTTATCATGAAGAAGTTACGACCCGTCGAAGTTTCGCGACGGAATCGGCATGACACCAGGAAGATGTAAATAGTGAATTTACGATAGAACAACTTTTAGATTTAGTGATCTAAATAAAAGTCGTAGAATATGTTAACCTGAGAGCGTCCATGAAAAGAACACCCAAATCTGACTTCGTATGAGGAAGTTATGATTTTTCTAAGATTTAGCTTAGCAATGCACGACCCGAAACAGGAATTCTAGCTCAAGCGGTTTATGGACTACGCGACCTAAATGAGAGTTGAAGATCTCATTAATAGGAACTAAACAATAAAAATATAGACGAAAACGAAGTCCATATGAAGGAGTTACGAATTCTTCGCGGTCATTTAATAGTCTAATCTCCTCCTACTATTAAATTTAAGATCAGTCGAGAATTAGCCGACGAAGTCTAAATAAAAGTTGTAGATCTTGTTTTTACCTACGCGTGGATATCAAGATCATCGAAAATGGAGTTCGTATACGAAAGTTATGAATTTTTGAAAATTAGTTAATTTCCACCATGTGTGCGATGCCACGTGTCAGCACCAGGCGAAACCTTGGAGCCTACGCAACACCATGACGTGATGAGAGGCACCACGACGTGGTAACGCCCCAGACATCCTATAAATAGAGGTGTCGGGAGAAGCTCATTCCTCACTCCTTCAATCCCTTCTTTTTCTTTCTAAAACCTCTCTCTAATATCCCCCCCCCCCCAACCCCCCAAAAAGCCTAGGGAATCCCCTAGCACGAGGCGGAAGCCCCGGAGCACCCGCCGGCTCCGAAAAGAAGAGCCTTCGGTTCAGAATCTCTGCTTAGGCGAAGCCCGATTTTGAGAAAAATCCGCTGTAAGTGAGCTATGTCTACCCTATCTTTAGTATAGCTTATGATTCAATATAGTAATGTTATTAGGACCTTATAATAAATATTTGGGCTATTATTATGAGTTATATAAGTATCGTTATAATATCTTTTTAACCAATCACGGTACGGGGAATCTGGTTTAAAGGCCACATAGGGTTGTTAGATTTCAGAAGTGCTATACGCCAAAATGGTCCTGCCCTCCGGTGTTTTATGTCTGGCCCCTATCTGTACATAGTGGGTGAAGATTTATGTTTAACGTTTATATAATAGTAATAATAGTTAGACTATTAATTAGTCTCGACGAATATTAGACTAAACTCTAGTGGTAATGATACTTGGTTTTGTCAAAGGAAAATTGTGGTAAGAGTAATGAAGTGTTTTCCGATTGCCGAGTCACCACCTTTTCATGTAACTGCATAGTTACTTTTATCTTACACATAAATATGAAGAATCTTATATAAACTACGTGCTATGTGTGCATATTACTTGAATATTTGTTGTTTATGCTGGATGAACGATTTTATATATGTTTTAAATTATTTAAACTATATACGTATTTTATATCTACAAAATGTGTTGGGTAGAACATGAGTTCATTAAAGATGAGATAAATGATGAGTGGTGAGATGAATGATGAGTGATGATATATAAGTGGTAAAATATGGTGAGAAGCGATGACCTTAACGATGAGCCAAAGCGATGAGCCAAAACGATGACCTAAGCGATGACCCAAGCGATGGCCCCGTCATCTAGCAGAGTATGGATGACAACCACGGACTATTCTAGACAATCCAGTGGAACACTAGCAGGACCGCAACCAGTAGGTGTTGTGAACTATGTGTTCACCGGTGTACTCTAAAAACCCATTGACATGTATTGTGAGTGGACTCTCAAAAATGATACTGTCAATAAACGAGATAACCCTAGCAGTTGTGCTCGAAGGACAATACTGACAGTTGCGCTTCATAGAAAATGTCACAATTCTGGCAGTTGCGCCTAAGTGATAGAACTAGCACTATGCTTGACAGCTGTGTCATTGAAAACAATGGACTTCGTATCTATTCCTTATGATAATCCTTAGGAATGAATGAATGAGAAATAGTTGATTCTTAGGGTAGATCCTTAAGAGTAAAGAAGATAATGGGGATGGGTAATTGGGTTAACTGTTTGATGATTAAACATAATAATTATATTATTGTTTGTTGAAAACCCTATGTACTCACTAGGTTTCCTAACCTGACCCACTCAGTTTATTTATATCACAGGTGATGATATGAAGTCATATTACACTGAGAGATTAAGGAGATATAAATCACGATTGATAATGAATGTAAGTTCTGTTTAATGCTTATGTTTTTGTATTGACGATGACATCCCAAATGTTTTTCAATGAATATAAATACTTTTCTTCGCAAATGCTTTGATAACGTGTTTATCATATTTTACTGGGAACAAATTCCGCAACATTTTTATTAAAAGAGGTACTCTGATTTTTATAAAGCACAAACAAAATCGGTCTTTTCTGGCCGTGAAAATAGGGATGTCACTATTGAAATTAATTATGGCTCTTAACATGTTCAAGGAAATACATGTAGTATTAATGTATATGTAGGTGATAAATTAGGGACGTAGTATACTTACATGTTTCGGACATTTGATTCTGTTTTGCAAGCAGGGAATGTGATGATCCAATGAACATCTGTGTCAACTGGTTTCAAACAATTAGCGCATCCTATTTGGGTGAAACTCCTATCTTGATGTGGCAAAGTGAGATTTCCTTTTACCCATTTTGCTTTACCCTATTTTAGAAAAAACAAATATGTTGATTTGGTATTTATGTTTGGAATAGAAAACTTAATATTTCTCATTGATTTACATTTGCGTACAAAGATTTTCCATCCTTGTGATTGCAATAGGTATTGGATGCATATCCTCTTATTTGGGATGTGGCAAAAGAATATCAGTATCTTTGTATGTTTCCCTTTGAAGTAAGTCCTTTATTTCTTTGTTGTTTTGTTGAAACCTGATAATGGAATGAAGTTATCATTAAAATTAATTGTTTGCTAATAGTTTTGTTAGAACATACCAGTTGTATAGCCGTAGATCTGTGTTGACTGGTGGATTTATAAGGATGGAAGATCCATTACCTGTTGACAGTGATAGCCCTGCATTGGGAGTTACTTAATGTTTCTGATTTCTTGTGTGTGTTGGCATATATGTTGCATATGTGGTGATAAGATTAGGTGACGTTACCATAGTTGTGATCTTCACTCTTATTGCAAATATCATTGGCACAGTGTAGGAGATTTCTTCTAATGCTTTTCCCTCATTCTCATTGAAGGATTCCCATAATGTTACTAAAAGAAGTTTTTTCACGATGATAATATACATGAATGTAAAATGTTAATAATTACTTATCTATAAAAATACAATAATTTTGGCTTGTTCTTAGTTAATTGTGTTACATACTCTTCATTAACAATAATCACATTTCTCTTTGATGATGTTTTTCCTTCTTGATTCATTTTTTCACTTGGAAAGCATTTAATAACGACGCCACATACATATGTGATATTAGAACAAAAATCTTTGCGAGTTTGTAGTAAGTATAAGGTTGAAATGCCAAATATATAAATGGTTGTCTCACTTAGGTTGTTTTCTACATCTGCGTACTTAAACATCTCACTAAAAGGGGTAAAGTTGAATAGGTTTGGGAGTGTTGGAGAGGTTAGATCTGGTTGCGGTTCAATGAGGGTTTTTTTGGTAAGCGACCAGGAATGTTCGTATGACCCGAGTCGATATCTTGGTTCTGTCAGTATTAACGTTGCATTTGAAATGCGGTAGCGTTTGTATAGTTGGAATGTGTTTTTAAAAAACTCGAGATAGTCACTAAAGATTAAAGCTGATACCTTAGTACCCTGTTAGATGTACACACGAATTAATATAATATACTGTAACCACACGCTGCAATATAAAATTGTTTTACCTGGGTATTAGTAATCATCAGTCTTTTGTAGTAATTTTTTGATCTGCTCTGTTTTGTATCCCCACATTCTAAAACCTGAACTATGACAGTCCATTTTTTTGTTCAGGTTTGGAGTAATATCCAATATGTTTGATAGTTCTCTCTCCATCTTGTTGTGACTTTGCGTATTGTATCTGAAAATGTTAGATGTTTTTTTTTTTTTCTGTATACCTGGTTAAAGAATTTTGTACATGCATTGGTTAAGAAGTCATGAAAAGTCGTTGAACGACATGTAAATGGATATTAATAGATAGACTATCATTTTTGCAGAATCCAATTATTATATCTGAACTAATTATTAGAAATTTTTTGGTATTGTTTCTCTGATTATAGTTTATAAGCGATGTTTCAGTTTAATTACAAGAATTAGAAGATTTGTACGAACACAAAAGTATCATACGAATATTGTTGTTCTGTAATGTGTACATTAATCGCAGTCTAATATCCCCCGTTAATTGCAGTGATATGAATGTTGATCGACAATCTAAAACAGTACGCATTGTATGTAACTTAAAATTCGTTATGCTAATGGCAGAATAATAAGTAAATTAGAACATACCTGGATTCTTATGTGTATGGAGAATTGTTGAAATGATGATGACAATGAAGATGTTACAACTTGTATGTGGAAACGAAATGTATTTCCTTGATTGATGTCGACTTTGCGTTTGTGAATAGGTTATCTGGGAATATTATGTTAACAGATAGTGACGCTGATAATAACCGTATACCAGTTACAAGATTCTGAAAATTTAGATTGTCAGTTAGTAAATTTGCGTGTTGGGTGTTAGGATGGGTGCCGACAATAATTATTGGCATATAACATTTTAATAATGGGTATTAAGTAAATTTGCGTTTAGTCACATACAAGGTTTTTGGGATTTTTTTTCAATTTTTCACAAGTGGGTCCTCTGGTAATTTTTGTAGTTTATATTATTAAAAAAGAAAAAGTAAGAAATTAATATATATATATATAAGGATGAGCAAAGGAATCCAGAAATGTTTGGAACCGGTAATGGAACCAGAACCGGTCTTGGAACTGGAGCCAACGGAACTGGTCAAGCCGAGAGCCATACTATAATATTGTTAATTTTTGAGACTGGACCTGGTAAGAACTGGTAATTGAAATCGGCCCAAACCGGGAAGCAGACCGGACAATGACATGCAAACATTACTTATAGCTATAATTGTGTCTCTTTTTACATGCATATTTTGTTGTGGTTTGAATGTTTGGATTCAGTCTTGATTTTATGTCCTTAATGTATAAGCTTTCAAATTATTATAAATTGGCATTGATTTGTTTTAGGTCTTTTAGGTAATTTCAATGTTAAGTTTCTTTATGGTTAAATTTTTCAGTACATCTCCATATAAAATTGTACTTTTTATTATATTAGCCTTGTTTTTGACAAAAAAGTTACATTATAGTTGAGTGTTCAAGCAATTTCCAATTGGGTTGGCTGTCAAGTAATGAAGTTATGCCTTGCATTCTTACCATTTTTTCTTAGTTATAGAAGACGACATGGTAAATTAGGTTCACAACAGGGATTCAAATGGAAGCCCGTTTGTTAGGTTCAAGAATCTAAAAGATATATATATATATATATATATATATATATATATATATATATATATATATATATATATATATATATATATATAAAACTGAAGATTCTATGCTCCAGAATGGTTATGATCACACAAGATTTGAATAGTTTCAGTACAGTGAATGAACACACAAACCTTCCCTTTTCTGACATAAAAAATGACACGGAAATTGTTATGCTTTTGAAGAGGATCAACTAGAACATTTACAAATGAAGATAGTTTTGACGAAGCGACTATGATCACAGTTTGTTAAGAAGTCTGTAAAAAAGAAACTAAAAGCTTCATAATGTGTTTTGATTTTAACCACTGATTATGATGATTCAGATTTCAGTTAACAATTGTATAAATTTAGAGTCAAGGCTCCAAAGACTTCACCCAAGAAGATGCCTGCAACAAAAAGTTTTCCAGGATCTTGTAATGTTAATGTTGAATAATCTTGTGAAGTGGAGTCTTTGAATTTAGAATGAGATCTCAATTTAATGGGTCAGCATCGTTGATTGCTTCCGAATCTGGAATCAAAGATGAAGAAACTTTTGAATGCAGAGTGAGTACTCACAATAATATATATATGCCAGCAACATACATTGCTTCTGAATCAAGGATCATTTTTATTGATCATGAACTATATACCATTTAAGCAGGTTCTTCTACAAATGAAGTGGAAGTTTGTGATCTTCTACAAATGAAGTGGAAGTTTGTGAGATCAATAAAGTTTCACTTGATGATTTGGATGATACCAAGGAAATGGTGTTGGATAATGAAGAAAACATGGAAAGTTCAAACGTAACTGAATATTCTCAAAATATGTTGCTATTTCTCAAAGGTCGGTTCCGACATCAGACACCCGATAAAAACCGGAACCGCTAGAACCGGCGGTTGGGATCGGTTCTTGATTCTGGTCAAATTCGGTCCCGGGTTTCGTCGAGGTCGAGCCGGTTCAGGCCGGTTCGGTTCCTTTGTTCATCCCTTATTATATATTTGTATTTTATAAAAATGTGTATAATATTTATTTTAATTATATATATTTTCAATTTAGGTGATGTAAACATTTTTTTCCGGGCTTTGGTTATAAAATGACTGTAAGACATAATTTGCCTACTGCAATAATTTTCAAAAACATAAATCGAAACTTAATTCGTTTTTTTAAACTTTTTGAAATAAACAATTTTTGCAACTAAATAACAAAGACAACAGTGTTACATAAATCTTTAAAATAAAATAATTTGTTTATGATATTGTTTTTATTTGTGTTGCCAAACGAATGGTAATATACAAACTTTCATTGATATCCTTGCAATTCTTAATTATATTGTTGAGTAGATCCCTGAAATCATATACGTCAAAACAGATAATCGGGTCATCATGTTGTTGTTTATTGCTGATTTTTCATTGGAGAATCCTTTACCATTGTTTGTATTGTTTCCCTTCAGTTATCCTTGTAAGTGCTCATGGCGGTTATTAACATTCGAGCATTCATTGCCTATAATTTGGGAAAACAATCATAAAGTATCATATGATCTCAATGACAAAATAAAACATTGTTTTTTTGGTGAACATGAATTTTTTTCTTAAAAATATGTTGGAATTATATTCGACAACTAAAGTGACAAGGCTTGTTATTAAGGTCATTTAGATAGTCAAAAGTGAAAGAAAAGAAGAATTGTTAAATGAAGTTAACCTCATATGTACTTGAGTTTTTTTCATACAGATACCAGACACCACACATGTGCAAACATGAAAAAGAGAAATAAAATGATAAAACGAAATATTTATATATAGTGAATTCAATTATGATTTTATTTCTAACCCTATTGACATTTTTTCCACCAATAAAAACTAAATATGTGTAAGAAAAAACGATTTAAATTTCTTTTGTTCTTGCACTGTAACCATTAAATGGCTTAGCTTTGTTGGCAATTCTAATACAACATCAATAGCAACACCATGTTCAACCATTTTAAATCCCTATAAATAAACATATCAATTAGTAAAAACCGATTGAAAAAACTTTTTTAACTTCAAAATTAATGGTACATTGTGAAGGTGAAATTAGCAGGACAAAACTCATTGAATATTAAGGTTTCTACGATTTGTACCAGTAATAAATAATCCAAGGTACCTGAGTTTGGATGAAATGTATTATATTTAAGTGCTAATACTTTTGGTATTGAAGTACACATACATATGTGATCTTATTTATTGTTTTGATTGACTAATTGTAGATCTTATGTGGTTGATACCTGTGTGCTCATGACCTCTTGTGTGCTTGTGACCTCCTGTGAGTGGATTTTGTTTAACACTTCATTTGGTAAATGCATGCCACATCCAATTTTTACAATACAGGATCCATGAATATGTACAAAAGTTGCAAAATTAGTACACTGATGTAACATTAACAATCTACCATAACACTTATAAAATAATAACAAACCTTCAATATGCTTCATGGATTTCCAACAAGGGACATTAAATTGGCTTCAATAGAACTCCTATCATAATGAGTGTTGTAAACATTGGATGTGTACCTTCTTGTTATTTTGTAACTTCTTGAATCTCTGGCGTGATATTTAACCTGCTAAATTAAACTTAAATTTTCATTAATAACGTATTGTATGTTAAAACTGGTAAGTTGTTACAAAAATTTTAACATTTTTTTGGATGTGAGAACATACATTTGGTTCGCATATTGTAAGACTTCCCGATATACAATGTTTTTAGTCTTATGTGTGTCAGTATAATGTTGTGATTCACTGATAACAACTTTAACATTTTCTATTGTTCTAGCTCGTGATAGAGCAACATACAATTGTCCATGAGAAAAACATGTTCTTTCAGATATATACCTACATAGTCTAGTGTTTAGCCTTGTGCTTTGTTAGTTGTCATTGCAAAGCATAGTTTTATTGGAAACTATATTCTTTTGAATGGAACTGTGTATTCTTCACCTGTGGCTGGTTGTAAAGGTAATCTATGAATAAATACTTGTTTCACAGCAAAATCTCCAATTTCTATTTCTACTCGAATAACATTCCTACCTAAATCTTTGCAAAAAAGTCTTGTACCATTACATAATCCTTCTGTAGGGTTAATGTTTCTTAATAATATTATAGGAGCATTTTGCTTCAAAATAAGTCGATGTGGTGGCATACCATTCGGTGTTAAAGAGTGAAGAAGATCTTCATAATGAGTTTGGTCGTTTGGATCAAGTGTATCATCAAGAGTAATATACTCAGTTTCTTCACCTGGGAATTTGTGTATTAAGATATCATTGATCTCATGTACAAAAATGTTTTTTGCTGTCAATATGTCCCGGTTTAATGATGCATGGACATTGGTTGAACTCATAAATATATTAGGGTAAACATAGTCTATAGGAACTTTTAACTGGTCAACATTATTTTCTATGAGTATTTGTTTAGGAAGAGTAATAAAATCATTATCATCTGAGATTTCTTTGCCATCACCTAATCTTATGAGAAATTCAGTAAACAACGGATCTTGTAAGGACCTCATGTTTTCATCTAGTTGTAGTAGACACAATGACTGCCATAGAGGAGAGTAAGTCAAACTGGCAGCGATTGTATTTGATTTGTTACCATTTCGAACAACTAGCAATGTTTGTATAAAATCACCACCAAGTACAACTACTCTCCCACCAAAAAGTTCTCTTGAATCAATAAGATCTTGTAGCAAGTCATTAAGAGCTTCTACTGTCGATCGCTTTTCCATGGGAGCTTCATCCCAAATAATCAGTTTATAGGTCTTAATTAATATACCTAAAGAACATTGCTTACTTATCCTACAATTTGACCCATCGGTTAAATCTTATGGAATTTTAAATCTTGAATGAGCTGTTCTACCCCCCGGAAGTAATGATGCAACAATGTCTGATGTTGCGATAGCTAATGCAATATGTCCTTCTGATCTAATATTTGTTAGCAATGCTCTATATATGAAAGTTTTCCATGTACCACCTGGACCATTAATGAAAAATGCTCCACTTTTATTGGCTTTTACTTTTCCAATTATTTTATCGAATGCAACTTTTTGTTTTTTGTTAAGATCATGTATTGACTTTAGATCATCTTCTGATACAATAATACTCTTTTCTGCTTTTATTTCCTTTGTTTCATCATCTAAATCAGCATATGATAGATCTATTGGAAATATATTAAATTCATGAATTTATCTTCCTATTGATTGTATAAAGGTGTTAATTTGCTTAACATACTTTGTTTTGCTTCTTTTTTTGAATAATTGTCGCAGTGTTAAAAATCTTCCAACATGGCATATTCAAAAGATAGCCACAACTGATGAGAATCGGACGACATTGTGTAAACAAGTAAGCTTGTAAAAAGTCATCGCAATTCATATGATATGTGGTAAACTGATGCCTCTTGTAGACATAGTTTTTGGCTATTATCATCAATTAGATATCCATGTAGTAATGTTGATTCCCGAAAGGTAGCAACTTTAAATCCTTTACAAACCTTAAGAAAATCATACGAATTTGGACATCTAATTTTGGATAAAAGTATCCATAGATAATATCTCTCACCTTCACTTGGATGAGTAACCACTATGCGTCCTATTGATTTTTCTGTCTGTGTAGGTGACCAAATCTTCTTATTTGACTTCCATACAAAATGGTTTGGAAATTCTACATATGTCAAATTAAGATGTTGTGCATATCTGTCTGTTTTGTTTTGAACAAAAAACTCAGTTAGCATAGTTTTTCTTTTTGATGAATTGGCTACAATATCAGTTAAGTGTTCTTTCTTTTTAAAGTTTATTGGTTGATAATCTTCTAAATGAAGGGGCAAATGAATAACTGTTGGTTTGATTTCGCCTAATGGAAATCTAAAAATTCTCCAAGCTGCTTCTGGGGGTGAAATCCACCTACCTGCTTGAAATTGATCAATTTCATTTATGGTATCATGATGATCATTTAATGAAACTGCGAAACTTATTTTGTCACACCCTTTGCATATATATTTATATATGTATTTCACAGCGTTTATTGTTGAGCATATTTCTAAATTAACATGGCAATCAAACTTACATAGCAAATATGGATTGTATGGAACAACCCATCTATTATCAAGTTCAACACCTCTAACCATAACCTTTACTCCATCATTGCATCTTCTATAAGTAGGATATGTATCGTCAGTTTGGGTTGTTTCACAACAAAAAGCTTTTGGATATAAATTCTTGCAAAATCCTTTTTTCATACAAACATTAAGTGGGTTCAGATCACCACAAGGACCGTGAATCATGTGCTTCATCACCATCCTAAATAGATGAGGATTTGACATCTCATTGGGTATTTCAGCCGAAACTATCGCATCATATTCTTCAACATTATGCATTTTATAATGAGGTGAAAGTATAAGTAAAAAATGTGCATGTGGAAGACCTCTCTTTTGGAACTCTAAAACATAATTGTATGCGACAACTTCTCCAAATATTTGTTTTTTCAAAATTTCTTTTTTAATCTGTTCAAGTTTAGCATGGAAAAATCTTACAATTAAATCGGCTCTATCTTGTGTTTCCTCTTGAATCATCATGTGTTACCTAATTTCTGGCCAATTAGGGTTGCAAGTTATCAGGCTTTCCTAAATTTTGCACTAATGCCATAGCATCTATGTATTTTCGTCTCATATTCCTTGGACCACCAATAAAGTTGGCTGGTAAAACCACACGTCGACCAATAGCTAAGGCATTAGTTTCTCCACTTGCTAGTGCATCGACAACACCTTGAAAGAACTCTTGTCGTAACTCATGGTATTGTGTTCTATAAAAATCTAATCTTTGTGTTTCTAACTTCACATAACTGTCTACTATATATTGTTGTAATAGGTGACCAAAAAACAATAAGCAAGATTTATCATGTTTACGTATCTGAAGTTTGTAGGCGTAATATTCTCTAACTGAGACACAATTCAAATTCTCAGAACTTCTTGCCATCACTATTAAGAAAAAACTATTAGGTTGCATGATGTAAGGAAAAATAAAATTGAAATTGTATTTTTTTTACCTAACTCTTCCATGTTTAACAAGTCATTGACATTTGTGATTCCCATGGGGGAGATAAGTTTTGCTGTTGAACATGTAACTATCCTATTGTTTGTTTGTTCATTGGCACTTTTTTTTAGAATAAGTTGTTGCCAACCAAGTTATCCAAATGGAAACATTAAAGGGTACTGTAATGGATCTTAACAACCATAATAATACTCAACATTCTTTGGTTCATTACTGTGTGTTCTAACTTCAATATTTCTTTTACCATGTTCTCCGTTATCTTGGCCTTCAACCCAAAGTGCTGCAACTTGTGCGGCATCTGGCTTGTTATACACTCATTGATCATGTGTAGGGATTGTCTTAAGAATAATCTTATATTCATCTAAACATGGTATGTCACTTAAATTTCGGAAAAAGCGTGCATATGGATTATGATGTAGATAGGTTATGCATGTTGCAATTAATTCTTTAGATAATCATGGGGAAGTTGTTAATCGATTTTCTATTTCGTTCTCTGTATCGTGAAAATATAATTGAAGGTTTTTAGCACTTTTCTCATCAGGATGTAAATCATTCACAAAATGATATACTTGGCCTTGGACTCTAAAACTGTAAATACCCTTATTTCTTTTTTTTTTTGGGTTCTTGTCTGCTTTAACACCAAATGAAGTGAAGGAAAAATGATTATTGTATGTTCTAATATATGTTCTAAAAGATTTTGCTTCTTCTTATGTAGATGTCAACAAATTACGCATGACAAGTGGGAGTTCATTATTGGATAAAACAATCCGACCTTCTAAACAACAAAAATTTGATGTTTCTGAATAAAACTTCACAACATTACAATAGGAACAACATACTACTTCTGGAAGAATATCTGCAGATAAAATAACTTGCTTTAACAATGCCTTTCTTTTTGTATTATTGACCTGATTGTTGATGGCATTTGACATTGCAACTGATTGACCACCAACTGTAAGTTTTCTTTTGTTCGCTGCTTCTTTTTCTCCCATTATAGTTTCATTTGCGTTGGTTGATTTTTCTACCGTGGTATCATTTATTTTCATTTTTTTATAGATTAACTGGAGATTCAAATTGCAAGTTTTCTTTGTTTTCTTTATCCATTTTTAATCGCTTCTTTTCTATATTTTTTCTTATATTCACAAGCATTATGAATCATGTCTGACTTGTCTATTATGTCATTATATCGTGCTTGTTTTTTCTTCCAATTTATAATAGGTAATCTTCTATATTGTTTCTTATTTATAATGGAACAACCAACATGTAAAGTTTTTGTGTAATTATTAGATGCTTGTTGAAATGCTTTCATGATTTTTCAAGTTTACAATATGTAAATTGACAAATTTGTTCTTCCTTAATGGTTACACCTATTCAGTTGGAAATTTTATTTACCTATCTTGTTAAATTAATTAGGAAAGAACCTGGTTGATGCCATAGAATGGTGTTGCATACTATTCACATTCATTTCTTGTAAGAAAATTCAACATTTGTTCAATAAAAAAATAGATAATTTAGCATCAATTATAGAAATTCTCCACAAGGAAAGAAATAGGTGATATATAATCCAACAGCTACTTTGCTATATATTGAAAAAAAAAAAATAGATATCTAACTAAGTCTAGAATATCATCAATGAAAATTCCAAACACTAAAAAATATCTTTAAAAAAAACCCTTAATTTGGAAACCAATAATATTGTCATGGAGATGATAGTTTCGTTATAATTTGAAGTCATATAAAATTATCATTATTTTAATACCCGATTTACTGAACATAAAGAGACACCGATGATTTCCGGTGCGTATGGTGGGGATAATATTTGATGAAATCGCAATAAATCCCTATTTGACTGGTTCATGCGGAAGAAGAAGATGGAAAAGAAATGTATGATGAGTCCGAGATTGAATGATGAAAGCATAAAATAGAAGAAAGTCATTACCGTTTTGTATACAGGGTCAAATTACGCAATCTTCGGTGGTTGGGCTTAGGAAGAATAACAGGAACAGAAGCTCGGTGCATATGGTGGGGATTATCTTTGATGAAATTGCAATTACGCCCTATTTGACTGGTTCATCCGGAAGAAGAAGATGGAAAAGAAGCGTATCATGAATCCGAGATTAAATGATGAAAGCAGATTAAAAGGAACAGAAGCAAATGAAACTGCTATTTCCGATAATTTTAAGTGCTTTTACCGGTAGTATGAGATACTGCAAAGATTTGGGGATTTTTCGATGGGAACAGGATCAAAGACGGTTAGAGGGGAAGGAAATTGATTTGTTGTTTTCTTTGGATTTGGAAACGTTATGGATATTGGCAAACGTTGGGAGGATTGGAAAAACGACAAGTTGTCATCAGTTGCGTCGTTTTGTACTTGGGTTACGTGTCTTTTAATGGACCATGGAAATTGGAATTTAATGGAAGGAGGAAAATAGGTTTTTCATATATAATAATGATATATATATATATATATATATATATATATATATAGAGAGAGAGAGAGAGAGATTTAAATATTCTAACTAACTGTTGTGTATATAGTAATGATTATCGGCCAATCAAAGTTGGTGATTGTATACCACTAATATTATTTAAGTGTAATGGGGTTAATTTGTTGATCAATGTCACTTTGAAAATTATTGAACAAATCAGCATGGCGAGAAGTACACATTTGTTTAATTTTGTCTTTGTTGAAAGTATAATGCTATCTAGGGGTGAAGCTCCTGAATTGACGAAGGTCCGGGGGCAGCGCCCCTGAGAGCGGGGTCCACGGGGCGGCAGCCCCTGGCTAGGGTTAGTTTTCTTTAAATACACTTGGTTTTGTGATCCATTTATAGACCCGATTTTATGTTAGTTTGTGATAGGTAATGTCACACCCCCAAACCAAAACGACGGAATCGTTCGAGGGTGGATGACTTCATGTAGTATCGCAACAATTGAATACATAGTAAAGAAAATAATACAACCATCATATATATCATTTAAAAGTTTACATTGTCGAAAGGTACTTGTTTCAAAAACAAATTACAATATGATGTCAAAATGAAACTAAACTGACACCACATCGTCCCTTCTTCAAAAGCTGTTTGTTTACCTTTTTTACTGAATTCCTGAGAAATACAAGTAGTTTTAAAAGAGTAGATCAACATTTAAGCTAGTGAGTTCATAAGTATTTAGTAATAATGTTTGTATGAAATAGAATGAAATGGTTTGTACATGTTTGAATATTCCTAGAAATCTCATATTTTCTACTATAGTAGATGGTAGTTTAATTCTTCCAAAACTAGTAATGCAATAGTGCTTCTCATGCCTAAAATAGTAGGTTTATGTATAAATCGCTAAGGCATTTTAAGAACCCCATAAATAAATGTGTTTTTAATACTCAATGTGAGTCTTATAACCATGCTATTTGACCAGGATGCCTATAACAAAGTTCTTCAAGCGTTGGAAAGTTATGACGTTTGTCACCCCAGGCCTACCGGCCTAGCTGTAGCTAACAACTTAGGTGTGGGATTGTCAATCCCATATAGATCTATACATAAGTATCACGCTCCCCCTACAAGGGATTTTGGTATATAATACAGGACTTAAAATGCATACTCGAAAGTACGTGAAATGTCTCACAAAACTTAGTATAAAACAGATTTACGTACGAAAATGTCCATTTGTTCTTGTGTATAAAAATATCTCTTTGATATAGCGTTTCTAGTATGTAAATGTTCGTGATTTTCTCGTAAACTATACCTATTATAGTTTTTCAAAGTGTGTGTTTCGTTCGTATGGTAAACCCTAGTGTAATGCTCACTTGTTATGTAAAGTATAATAGTTATAGTGACATAAGTGATCACATATACTTAAAGTATAAATAAAGTGTTTGATTCATGTATATATATAAACATGTTTTATTTCCAAAAGACAAGATGTTATCGAGAATATATATATCGCATACGAAGGCTCTCACGTAGTAGTTATGAATCACATATGATTTACTTGATAAAAAAAGTATATAGTGAAACTTTATGTTACACATGATAATAACCGTGTGTTTACTAGTATCCCCCCCCCCTAAAAGTGTATAAAAAGCATTGATAAAACATTTGAAAGTGTAGTTTATAGGTGTATGAAACTCACTTGATAGATTGAAGAAGGTGAGACGAAAACCAAGCAGAACTTTGACTCAAGAAAGCGGATTTTCTCGGGAATGTAAACTTCCTTCGGGTCTTTGGTATGAAAAATGGGGCTTCGGGATATTATTTGCATGCAAAACGGAGTAAAAACGCAAGAGAAAGAGAGGAATTGAGCAATTTTACCCATAACCCTCGCATCCCTT